TGGTCCGGTGGCTAAGACTCTGCGCTCCCAATGCAGGGGACCCAGGTTCGCGCCCTGGCCAGGGAACTAGATATCGCATGTGCAACTACAGAGCCCGCACGCAGCAACGAAGGTATCCGGCGTAGCCAAAAAATGCATATTTAAAAAAAAAAAAAAAAAAAAACAAAAAACCCACGGGAGTGTATTTAACCCCAAGCAAAGAACCAAGACACCGGGACTTCCCTGGTGGTCCGGTGGCTAAGACTCTGCGCTCCCAATGCAGGGGACCCAGGTTCGCGCCCTGGCCAGGGAACTAGATATCGCATGTGCAACTACAGAGCCCGCACGCAGCAACGAAGGTATCCGGCGTAGCCAAAAAATGCATATTAAAAAAAAAAAAAAAAAGAACCAAGAAACCAGTGGAGAAACAGGAAACTTGGGAGCAAGGAAGAGAAGTATTTCGTAATCACAAAGGAAGGATACAGCACATTAATTTCAGACACGTTGTCGCTAACTAGATTTTCATAGCCTGGCTGGAGAGCCAGCCACAGTTCACAACATTGTTTCTTTGGAAAAGCGCCTCCAGCTGGAGCGGTCTGGTTAAAGGGACTGCCTGCAGGCAGGAAGGGAGGACGCCGCTCTCCCTTTTTATCGGCTCTTAGTAGGCATAACTATTAGGCCGATGTTGGCATCTGGCTTTGTGGGAGCAAGATTACAGTCAATCACATCCTTTTTTCTGTCCAATTGCATTTTGCAGAAAGACAGTTGATAACAGTGCAGTTGACAGGCTCAAAAGGCGAGGGGCCCTGGAGTGGGAGAGAGGGGCCTGAGAGTCTGATGCCAGGGAAACATTAGTTCTCCCTGAATATCCCTAGGGCCCTGGCCCTAGCAGAAGGCTTTGATGATTGGAGCGGACAGAGGGCAGTTTTCATCTGGAGCTGCCAGGTTGGGAGGGGCTAACCTCCCACCTCCAAAGAGCCCCCTGAGTGTTCTTAGTGCCTCCTGGTCCATTTATTTTAAAAGGAGCCAGCTATTCTCTGAACCCCCTTAAGTCTCCTCGAGAGAAGTGGGATGTGGGCTAGAGAGGGTACCTTCTCTTTTACAAAATCTCCTGGGAATTCACTGGCGGTGCAGTGGTTAGGATTCTGGGCTTTCACTGCTGGGGGCCCTAGTGCGATCCCTGGCCGGGGAACTTAAGATCCTGCAAGCCTCGCGGAGCGGCCAAGAAATAAGAAAATAAAAAAGTCTCCCTACAATCCAGGGCGCAAAGCTAACGAGAAGGAACGGCAGGCGGCCCTGCAAGTGGCTGAGGACTTCATCGCCCGCATGCGGTATGCCCCAAACACTCAGGTGAGGAGCCTCCCTTCCCCCCAGCACCCTCCTCCTGGGGCTCTTCCCTGGCCTCCTGCCTCTCAGACTGGACAAGAAGGGCGGGAAAGCCTGGGGCACAGTCAGAAGCAGTCAGGCCTCCCTCCCAGCCCCACGCAGTGGGAAAGCCCTCCTCAGTCCTTCCATACAAAACATGATATTTTCTAAGGGGATGTTTGGGCAATGCTCCCCTGAGAGCCCAGCAAGTTGGGTGCACCTCTGGAGCTTGTGCACCTCCTCTGGGCCGAGGTCCCTAGCTGGTTCTGCCCCTTCTCATCCCAGCACGGCGACACCACAGGTCAAACTGATGGGAGCTGATAAGTCTCATGTATAATTGGTGCATCTGTGAAACTGCACCTGAGTCCTTGAAGCAATCTGTTTTCTCAGCCCGTGTCCCTGTAATCTTTCTCGTCTCTTGGCTTATCTGGAGGAGCATCCCTGGCCTGGATGGCACATGGACTTGGGCCTGGTGCCCACCACCCTCCTCCTTGGCTCCGGCCCTCCCCAGCAGAGGCAGAGGTGGCAACCTTGTGAGCCGGATTCCTCCCCTGCTGATCCCACAGGTGGAGATTCTGCCCCAGGGCCGCGAGAGTCCCATCTTCAAGCAATTCTTCAAGGACTGGAAATGAGGGCGGACGTCTCCCTGCCCCCACCTGCTGCCCGCTCGCCTATCCTCCAGCTCCCTGGCCAGTGCCGAGGTGCCTGCGCGGATGATCAATAAAGGAGACCAGTGCCCTCTGCCTGCACTGCCTGCCTTGGGCTAATTCTTCCCGCCCCACCTAGTCATGCTGGGCGGAGTAAGACCCAGGGGACAATTCCACAACCCGTGAGAGGCCAGAGCTGGCTTTGCATGATGAGGCAGAGGGGCCAGGAGTCCCCGTGGGCCTGGCAGGCACTGCTGTGAACCCAATAGGGAGGTGGCACAGGGCCAGGGCTCAGGATCACTTTCAGCCCGAGGTTCGGTTCAGTCTCACATTCCCGACTGGGAGAAGGTTGTGGCGGCGGGTATGGGATGCATCTCCATTCAAGCCAGTATTTCCTCAGGTGCCCCAATAATCCACTGCAAGGCAGCTTCCAAACGATGTGTGATCACCAAGCAAGAGCACAGCTCTACACCTCTGTGCGGGAGGCTGGCTTGTCACGTCATGGCATCGGGTATTCGGCTGATGAGCTCAGGGCCACGTGGGGCCGTGGGAAAAGCACCAGATTAGTGTCCGAGGGTCATGGGTTCTGGGTCTCACCTGCCTCTGTTCGAGCCTGGGCAAGTTGCTTTTCCTCATCTGGGCCCTAGTTCATTCTCTTGTGTAACGGGGTAGTGGCTGGAAAAGCAAAGAGGCTAGGTAGCTAAATAGGCAGAGAATGGAGTAGCCCCAAAGCAGTCCCACCCTGGGGGACATGACCTGGCCGGGGGTCGGGGGTATAAGCAAAGCGGGAGCTGCGTAAGCCCAGACCAGAAGGACCGGAGTCCACGAGGCCTGGCAGGGTTGCAGCCGTCCTGACCCACTCTCACCCTGGGCCCTCCGGGCTATGTGGCTTCTGAGCTCTGACATGCCGGATCTTCCGTCCCAAACAGAAATTCTGATCAAGTTCATCTCAGTGATTTTTGTGCTGAGAAGCATAGAGAAATGAGCTCCCTGTGCATCCCCCTGCTCTTTTCTCCACACAGAGATATCCCTGGGAGTCCACTGGACAGCCTCTGCAAAGAGCATGTGCCAGGGATGACTTTTAAAAGGGGAAAGAGCAAGGGTTGTACTAAATCCACGGTTCTGACCTTTTTTTGTACCAAATCCACGGTTCTGACCTTTTTAGGGTTGTGAAGCATTTTAAGTCTCTCATGAAAGGCCTTGGAAGGCCTTTCCCAAGAAAAATGCATAGATTAAGATTTTTGCATCTACTCTCAGAGCATTTAGACGTTCCCCCCGCGACCGATCCATCAACAAAACTGCAACTTAATCCCTGGACTGTTATTGCGAATGTTCCCAGGTCCGAAGTTGCCTGGAGAGCATCCCACCAAGAGTGATGTGGGACAGGCTTCTGCAGAGGCCATTGGCCTCCCCTCCAGCTAGAGGCCCACGAATGCTGGTCCCTACTGTGCTGTGGGCTGAGCACTCACGGTCGACGTCAGCTGAGCTGGCCTCAAGGTCTGAGTGAGGGAAAGGAATCTGCAGGAAAGGAACCATTGAACTTGACATTCCGAAGTGGAGGCTGGGCTGCGTTCTATCCCCACCAGGCCCAGTAATCTTGCTGCCATCTCTGCTGGTCAGCTAAGCACCTCGTCAGGACGAAGGAGGCAGACAGAGAATTAGTTTAGGTCAAAGACGACACAAGGCAAACCGCAGGGTCCGTTACCAGCCCCGCCCTTGAGGCATCCTGCTGACAGGAGTCCCTGCCACACTTGGGTGGCCATCTGTCATCTCCACCTCTGTGATGGGCCTCCCCCTGCATGGGGCAGACTTGGAGAGGCCTGCGGGGCTGGACAGTTGTCTTCCGTGACTCCACTTGAGGGAGGTCAGAGGACGGGAAAGCAGCCTAGTGGGGCTCTCACCTGCCCCCTGTTCCCCAGCGCCAAAGCCCTGGAGGCCCTTTTGTGAGTGGAGCGACGACAGCTAGCTTCCCCAGAAGCAAATATAGGACAAACACCAGCCAACTTTAACAAGAGCCAGGGCCGCCTTGCCCACTGGTTAGAGCGTGCAGAGTCTCCGGGTCTGTAAGTGCAGCAGGGTGAGGCTGGACAGTGTTATGAACTTGGCGGGAGTGTGGCCAGGGCACAGCAACCTCTCCTGGGCCCATGACCAGCACCAGAGACAACCAGGACGTCACCTGGCCGAGTGCCTGGATCTAAAGGGGACCCTGGGATAACAGGGCCACAGGAAGGCACAAAGCTTGTCTGGAAGGAAAACACCTGAGACTCTTAACCCAGAAGAATTCTTTTATTTAAAAACTGCTGGTACGTGAATTTCCTCCTTCCTTCGCCCAGGCCAGAGAACCATCCCTGATGGGACCTGCACAGCCTCCACGGGGGTAGCCCAGCTGGTGGGCAGTTAGGATGGGTGGCAGCAGACACCTAGCCCAGTGCCTGGTTCTGTGTCACAAGCAGTGGGGAGGAGGGATGGGGAGAGCTGAGGGTGGGATGAGTGCAAGGCCAGAGACCCCAGGGGATGGAGAGGAAGGCAGGCCCATGTGCTCTCTCTGGTTCATGCTGCCCCCTGTCAGCTGCTGCCACCGCTACCATCTCCCTTCACATTCTAACTCCTCAGCCCATGTCTGGTCCCTGTCCCGTGGACCCCTGAGGCCTGAAAGCCCCTCTGCCAGGGAGTCAGAATTCTGGCACCTCTCCTTGGGAATACCTTTGATGTAGGGCTGTGTGGAACACCCACCTCATGATCTGTCACTGAAATTACCTGGAACCCAACTCTGGAAGCTGTAGCCCAACTAAGATTATGGCAAAGTTTTCCTTGCTCTGGAGGCAGGTCTGCGGGGAGTGGGTCAAATTTAACAGCCCCTAATGTCTCATGCAGGTGAGGGTCCTTGGCTCCCCCAACAGGCTTCCTACATCCCTGCTGCTAGGACCGCAAGGGGCAGGACGGTGCCAGGGTACACCCTCCGAAAGCCCCTTCAAGGCTTTTGATCCGGCGGCCGCTCACTGGGGTTGGTCAGATCAGCCATGTGCCTTCAGAGGAGTGTGGTGGCAGGTCACACACTCCTGTGAAAGTGAGATCCTTGGAGGGGGGGGCTTGTGGCCCAGCACACTTCCGTGCCCCCAACAGGGAGGCCTGTCCCTTTGCCACTCCAGCCAAGTAGATCTCCAGGGTCTTGAGCAGCCGTCTGGGGCTCTTCTTGGCCAACACCTCCAAGTCTGGAACAGAGAGGATTGGGGAGCAGAAGGCTTGTGGGGGCTGTGGAATGCACAACCCAGAGGCTCTGGAGAGGAGGGTGAAGGAGTCGTCTAAGATGGAGAGCTCACCAGAGAGGGAGACCCAGGAACCAGATTCGGCCACAGGGACCTCACGCTCTACCCTGTCCAGGACAGTCTCAACTCTGGGCAACAGTCCAACTGCTGGGCCCAGCTTTTGATGCAGAAAAGAGAGTCACCCGATGTACAGGGCCAGGAAGGGGAAAGAGGGGCGGCAGAGGAAGGAGAGAGGCAGAGGCTCCTGAGGGTGGGACTGGAGGCCCGGGGAAGCGGGAACCTGGGAAGCCGCGAACGGGGGGCGGGGGGAAAGGAAGGCACCCCAAACCACCCTGGGCTCCCTGAACCCGGGGCCGCCAGGAGTGCAGGAGCCAGGCCTCCCCAGAAGAGCAAGCACACCTCTGAGGACAAAGCCCGAGTCAGAGACGGTCTTGTGCTGCGTCCTCCAGACGTGCGCAAGGCGGAGGAAAGCGGCGGCGTAGAGGCTGTTCACCACCGGGATCACCTTCTGCTGCCGGTTACACTCCCTGCAGGACAAGGCAGGTCACCTGCTCAGCAGTGGACAGAGGCTGACACCTGGGGGCCCTCCCGCCCTGTCCCCAAGGAGCCTTCACGTCTGAGGTCAGGGTTGGGGAGGAGGGATGGGCTGCGAGGCTGGTGCACGGGGATCTGTCCAGGTACCCCGGAACCAGCAGGTGAGGGAGAGCTGGGAGGATGAGGCACGGGGGTGGGGG